GACCGAACTGTGAGGCTGCCTACGTATCCTTAAAAGGAATCAGGTCGAACGTAGTTCATGTCATAGAAATTACTTTGTTGTTGTGATTTTCTCTTTTCTCTTTCTTTCCTTTTCTCATTTTGCTTTCTTTTTCTCTTTTTGTTGCTTTTTTTCTTCTTTTTTTTCATTCTCTTTTTCTTCTTCTTCTTCTTCTTTTTTCATTCTTTTCTTCCTCTTTCATTCCTTTTTTTTCTTTCCTATTTCTTTCTCTTTTTCTCTTCTTTTTTACTTATCTTTCACGCTTGTATTTATGATGTTTGCTACTGATTCCGAAAGAGGGGTATGAAAGAAAATAAATAAGGCTCAAAAGGGGGTAACAAAGGATAAAGTGTTTAGATAGCAGAACAAAATGCCTTCGTCATTCCAATCTTCAAAACATGCCAAGTACAAACAACACAATTAAACAAACCAAGGAAAATATTCATAACATCTTTTGATTGCTCCAGACTTGATGACCATATCCACGCATTCGCCTTCTATATCTGTTACATACAAAGCACCATTGGACAACACTCTCACTCTCACTACCATGAACGGCCCCCTACAAATTTGGGGCAAACTTGCCGTTATCTTCACCCGATGCAGCATGATGCATTTCAATAGTGTATTTTTATGTTCTATCTGCCCCAGTTTCACACAATTCAGGCTTGAAGTGATCTCAAAATGCCTTCACTTATTTCCCTCAAATGTCCCTACATCTTCAACATTGTTTCGTTGCTTCGTGACTAAACTGATTTTTAAAACCAGGTTGAGAATTACGTGTGCATGTCATGTCACTAGAGTCAATTAGGAAAAGAACTATAAAAGAAAAGGGAACTAAATGAAAATGACTAGAAATTACAGAAAACGAAAAATTGCATTAGACAGATGGTGAAAGGGTTTGAACAACAAAACAAACAAACTAACTGAGGTCACAAACATAGAACAAACCTAGACAACACTAGATGAGCTACTATGACTAAACAAACTAGGCAAAATAAAAGGATAGAAGGGTTGGAGTCACAAGACAATATCCGGATTACAACCCTAAAATAACCCGGACAACAGAAATAACAACAAAATAAACCACCAAAACTCCTCCCTGACTAACCAAGAAATGAGCGTCTTTCCAACTGTGAAGATCAGCATCTTAGCTACTGAATTCCGCATCAACATTACTAGGACCTTCACAAACCTCCATCACATTGTTCTTAATAAATTGCTTTTGGGTTCCCTTTGCTGGCTCATTCTTAAGATCAACCTCTGATAGCACTGAAAACTTTGTAGCGCGTGGACCTTCGAGGATCTCAGAAGAATTCTCATATTCCTTTCCAAAACAAATCATACTTACCATATGCATCTCATTACGAACAGGCGATGGACTTTGGTTAGTGTCTGCTGCATCAGGATTTTGCACTACAATGTCACATGCATCAATCAACTTCTGAATTACTTTCTTCAGATTCCAACACTTCTCTATGTCATGCCCCTGGGCATCTGAGCAATATGCGCACCTTTGAGAAAAATCAAACTTCTTTGACAGAGGGTTTGGTATTTTTATATGAATCGACTTCAACATGTCCAATTGCTTCAACTTTTGGAACAAACTGGCGTATGATTCTCCAATAGGGTGAAAACCTTTTCTTCTTAAATGCTTACCATATCATACTTACCATATGCACCTCTCATTCTTAAATGCTTGATTGGGCCGAAAACCTGATCTAGGAGGTTTTCGATAGGCTCGTGGGGGTGGATAGGCATTTTGTGGAGCTGGGTACTAGGAAAGTGATGTACGATTTTGGGAGTTCCGTGGAGAGAAGTGGTATTGGGGAGGATCCTCTAGCTCACAAGGATATCCACGGGGACGATGTCGAGGCTGGAAGTGTTGATCGGGAAAGCCCATTGGATCATCTTTTCTGTTTCTCCTTCTTCCACCCAAGCTTACTGGGATGTTCTGAATGTTTTTCGAACAACTCATGATTTTGCCTGACTTGATTCCTTCTTCTACTAGCTCCCCCATTTTTAACACATCATAGAAGGGCTTCCCTAGGGCCGGGATCAAATGACTGAAGTAGGTGGGCCCCTGGGCTTGTAGGAAAAGCTCAACTATTTCTTCTTCGCCAATCGAGGTATTGACTCGAGCAGCCTGCTCCCTCCATCTGAGCCCAAACTCCATAAAGCTTTCCTCCGATTTCTTTTCCATTTTAGATAGGGAGGAGCGGTCTGGGGTAACACCTGATCTATATTGAAAGTATCGAACAAAATCTTGAGCCATGTCACCTAATGTAGGCCACTTACCAACATCTTGACGATTATGCCATTCCAAAGCTGCTCCGGTTAGGCTCTCACTGAAGTACTCCATCAACAAATCATATTTCTCGCCAACACTTCTCATTTCACTGCAATAATCCCTCAAATGGGCTACCGGATCTCCACACCCATCATACAAGTTAAATCTTGGCACTTTGAATCCCGCGGGCAGGCGAACGTCAGGGGACACAGACAGTTCTTTGTAAGCCATGCTACCCTGGTCTCCCCTTTCTTGTTTGTTCTTTAAGGATTGTTCTATGCCTTT